AAATTTAAAAAAAAAAAAAAGAAATATCAGGACTTGCTGACAGTTACCATAAAGTAAAAGAGAAGTCAACAGCCTATGTAAATTACATAGTTAAAACCCTTGTTTGAACTTCTAAAAAAAAAAAAAAAGTCAACTAAGCGTAAGAATAGAAACTGAATCTTTAAAAGAGAGGGGAGAAAAAAAACCGGAAGGAAGTATAATAAAATTGCATTATAGCGTAACAAATAATGAAATTCTTATTTTGGTCTTGTGATGTTTTTTAAATTTTCCACCTTTTCGTAAAGGATTGTGGTCGTTATAATAAACTCGAGTTCTAGTGGTCTAGTGGTAAGAAACTGCACGCAATCCCAAAGGCCTGAGGTTTGAATCCACCATCTGCTCCACAGGAGGATGGACAATCTCCCCCCTGTGCCGTTAACTACTTCTGAGAACCCGCCGCAGGGTCAGCTATGGGTCGGTTCCGACTTAGTGCACAACAACAACAACATAAAATTAGGTAACGGGAGTTAACATTTATGCAGCGTTATCTTTAATTCACGTTCACCTATGGGTATTTTGGAAGAAAAGCCTAACAGCCTACTGTGGAATCAGCCTTTGAAAATCCTGTGGAGGAGAATTCTGCTCTTACATACGTGACTCACCTACCTTTTAAGTTCATTTCTTTATCAGAGTTAAAGAGATTCTAACCAAACGATTAAAGTATAAGTAACAAGTAATAATTTTAAAGGGGGTAGCTTCTAGGATTCCTAAGTGCCAAAGCAAAAATTTAAGAGTATATATGCAAATGCTAAACAAGCAAATTATTGACTTCCTATTTTTATAAAGAAAGGAAGCAAGGCAATTTCCACTTCAAAGGAGTTCCACTTTATATCCATTTAGTTTTAAATGAAATGTCTAATTTGTATGTGTTGCTTCAGCTGACCCTCTTCAGAGTGGTGCCAATATGAAGAACCTAGTGCTTTAAAGCAAAAACTGTTCATTACAATATTCCCTGCTATAGTGGTAAGTGTGAGGGGAAAGATACTCAGCTGGGTGTCTGTGATGACAGAACAAATCATCTGTGTTCTCAAGTCATATGCTCTCCATTGAGGATTTTGAGGTGATGGTTTGTGTTTGTGCTCAGCCTGTGCCAAAGCACAGACCAGCGCTTTCATTCCAGACTGCGTGCCTCCAGCACTGTGCACTGTGCACACATAGTTAGGGCAAAGCTTATCCTTGAGGGAGTTGCTCCTCGGCTCTCATCATATATTCTAGTTGTTGTTATGTGCTGTCGAGTCACCTGCAACTATAGTGACCCTACGTATAACAGCTCTGAAGCCTGCCCTGTCCTGAGCCAGTCTCACTGACTCCAAAACACCTACCCCCATTGCCCCAATTACTGTGTCCAGGACATCATATCAGTGTCTTCCTCTCCTGCGCAGTCCCTCCACTCTTCCAAGCATGATGTCCTTCTCCAAGGACCAGATGTGCCTAAGGTATATGAGATGGAGCTTCAAATGTGAGACTCATCTTGCTTGGCTCCAAAATCAACACTCTTGGTACCAGCAGTCAGGAAATCAAAAGATAAATTGCACTGGGGAAATCTGCTGTCAGGGACCTCTCCAGAGTACTAAGAAGCAACAATATCAGTCTAGAGATAAGATGCATCTGAACCAGGCCATGGTCTTTGCAATTACTTGTTATGCATCAGACAGCTGGACAACAAATAAGGTTGACAGAAGAATTGATGCCTTTGAGTTGTGGTGCAGGAGAAGAGTCTTAAACATACCATGAACTGCCAAGAGAACAAGGGAGAGGGTGAAAAACAAGTTTCTCCTTGGAGGCTAGGATTTTGAAGTTCCATCTTACATTCTAGTTCATCACATTAATATCACACACAACCAAAATATTTCTGACACGAGGGATATCATTGCTGATGTCAGTGGATCTTGGCTAAAAGCAGAGAATACCAGAAGGATGTTTATGTTTTATTGACTATGTAAAGGCTTTTGACTTTTTGGAGCACAACAAATTGTGGCTAAAATTGAGAAGAATGAGAATCCCAAACATTTAATTATAGTCATATGAAACCTATAGCTAGACTAAGAAGCTGTTGTCCAAACAGCACAAAGGAACACCTTATCGTTTAAGAAAAATTTACGTCAAGGGTTTATCCTTTCTGCCTATTTATTAAATCTGTAGCTGAGCAAATCATTTGAGAAGCTGGATTCTTTGAAGAAGAGTGTGACATCAGGATCAGAGGGAGATTCATTAACAACTTGAATTATGCAGATTGCTGCATTATGCAGCCAGTAGACTTGCTTGCAGAAAGTTAGGAGAACTTGAAGGGCTGGCTGCAGAAGATCAAAGGCTATAGCCTTCTATATGGATTACATTTCAACACCAAGAAAACAAAAATCCTCATCACTGGACCCAATGTCATGATAGAAAAGATTGAAACTGTCAACTCTTTGATCTTACTTGGATCCATAGTCAACATCCTTGGTACCAGCAGTCGAGAGATCAGGAAACATTGGGATCGTCTGCTGTTAGGGACTTCTAATTACTGAGGAGCAATGATGTCAGTTTGAAGATTAAGGTGTGCCTGATTCAGGCCCTGGCCTTTTCAGTCATTTACTATGCTGCTGAGAGCTGGACAATCAATAAGGACGACAGAAGAACTGATGTCTTTGAACTGTGGTGTTGGAGAAGAATACTGACTGTTCATTCCATGAAGGGCCAAAAATACTCAACCAGGTATGTCTGGAAAAAAGTGCAGCCAGAGTGCTACTTAGAGGCAAAGATGGTAAAACTTCACCTCACATACTCTGGGCGTGTTGTTAGGAGGGGCTCTTCCTTAGATAGTGACATCGTGCTTGGAAAGGTGGACGGTCAACAAAAGAGAGGAAAACCCTCAATGGGGTAGATTCACACAGTGACTGCTGCAGTGGGCTCAAGAGTGTCTCAGATGATAAGGATGGCACAAGATAGGACAAGGTTCAGATCTTTTGTTCATAGGGTCGCTAGGAGTCTAATTGGACTTGATGGCACCTAACAACAATAACAATAGCTGAGTTGAATCCAACTAACAGAAGCCCTGTGTGTGTCAGATTGAAAGGTTTCGGATTGGAACCTAGAACCAAGCCGAGGTAGCTACATTTCTCAGAGTTTATTGCATGCCGGGCTCCTCAACAAGGGGAGTAGCACTGGGGGTTGGGCTCAGGGGGCTTAAATGGGGCCATTGCAGTGGTTCATTGGTGCATAAAGTTTCTGGTCTTGGGAAACTGGTTCTAGGGAATGTCCTGACATAGGATTTCTCAGTTTTGGTTTTGGAAAAATGTCCGGACAGAGTTTTCTGAGTTCTGGTTTTGGGGAATGTCCTAACATAGGATTTTCTGAGTTCTGGTTTCAGAAAAAAAGTCCTGACATAGGATTTTCTGAGTTCTGGTTTTGGAAAATATCCTGACATAAGATTTTTTAGTTGAGCTTTACCCTCCATTTTTATTTTTAGTCTAAGAGATTTTTCTTCAAAGTTTCCTAGAGCTGATTTTTCTGAAATAGGTCACCAAGTCTTTCTTCCTAGGCACATCTGCATAGATCTGAACCTCTAACTTTTCAGTTGGAGTGAATATGTGAACAAGTAAATAATCTTGTGCTTGTAAATGCTGTGTTGAAGGGCTGGGATCTGTTGACACTGTGCCTTCGGAGAAGGTAATGTCTAAGCTGCTGACTGAAAATCAGAAAGGGGTCAGATCTGAAAAGAGGCAGTCAGGACACAAGGAACGGCCACTGCAAGGCTCCTGAGTTGGAGGAACCCTGTGCATGAGGGTGAGGAAATGAGGGTGTGGGCTCGAAGGCAGGGAGACTGGGGGAGGACTTGAGAGTTCATCCTGAACATCAGGGGTCATTGTTAGGTACCAATGTCTTCAGGTTCTTTACAGCTTCAGTGTAGTTTTTTGTTGCTGATTTTTATTTGTCTGTTTTGGTTTTGCAGGCCTGTCAAGTACTTTTTACTGTCAGAATAGCTTGGGCCCACCCTAAATTCTAAAGACCTCATGCTTGGAAAAGTAGAGAAAGGGAGGAAGACCCCCCAAGGAGATGGATTGACATGATGACTGCAGCAGTGGGCTTGAGCGTGGTGGAGATTATGGGGACGGTGCAGGTCAGGGCAAGGTGCAGATCTGTTCGTGGGTCATAGTGACGTGATGGCATCTAACAACAGCAGCAATTTGCTTTTTCTATTACGCTTCCACATTGTTTGTAAATTAAGAGAAAATGATGATGGGAAACAACTGAAATGACCATCACTTGATAAACAAAAGTTGATTTGTACAGGCAGTGGAATACTACTCTCCCTTGAAGAGAAATGCTCTTGTGATGCTTGCCACAAGAACAGATGAACTTGAAGACAGCATTTTGGTGGAGATTAGTTGTAATAAGACAAAGTATGATCTGAGTTTAGAACAAACAAGCAAATATATATTGATGTGTGTGTGTGTGTGTGTGTATGTGTGTGTATGTCATTAAGTCGATTCACACTCAGAAAGATCAGAGGGGTAGAGCCGCCCCGTCTAGTTTCCATGGCTGTAATTGCTACATGAGCAGATTGCCAGGTGTTCTGTCCTGTGGAGCAGAGCTGTTAATGGATTCAGTCTGCTGACCTTTCCTCCTTAGCAGCCAAATGCTTAACATTGGAGACAGACACTGACGATGAAGTGGCCCGAGGAAACTCTAGTGAGGGTGATAGAACTCTGTGTCTGCCTTACGGTGTTGCAGAGAAAAGACCTGGCGATCCACTTCTGTAAAGGTGTTCCACAGCCTGGGAACCCTGGCGGGGTGGGGGTGGGGGGGGCAGTTCTATACTGTGAACTGGATAGGGTCACTGTGAACTGTAGTCAACTCACCAGCAGTAAGCATTATATTGGTTGTCATGTGAACTTTTATCAAAACCCTAAGAACTATACACTTTCTTGGTTAAATTTATGAGTAAATTATACCTACATTTACATATAATAATACAAACAGATGTGAGAGAGGGATGCTTTTACCGATGAAAACAAGCACAAGATCCAACAAGGGTTTACGGGAAACACGTGCACAGCTGGTGGGACAAAAAATCTGACACCAGTTCCACTTCCCTGAGAGTTTGTGCTGTTTCCTGCTCCTCCTATGAAACCTTAGCCCCTCTTTACCTCATCTCATCACAGCGGAGGGCAGCGGTCATTTCCATGATCCTCTTTAGGGAGCCCAGTGTCTCCAAGCCCTTGTGGACCAGTTTCCGAAGGCACCCAAGCCAAGTGCCACAAATAGGGTGGCTTAAATCAACAGAATTTCAATTTTCACTATCATGGAGGTAGAAATCCTGCTATCCCTGCAGTGACTCTAAAGGAAATTCTAAAGACTCTAAAGGAGATTCTTTTCTTGCTTCTAACCCCCAGGCACCCTTTGGTTTGGGGTGGTATAACTCCATTCTCTGCCTCATCTTCTCGAAGTGACTTCCCTCTGGGACTCATCTTTTTAAAGATAATATGGTCCACTGCTGTCAAGGTGACTCTAACTCAGGGAGCTCTAGTGGTCTAGTGGCAAGGATCTGTACTGCAATCCTACAGGTGCGCAGTTCGAATCCACCAGATACTCTGCTGGAGAAGGAGGGACAATCTCCTCCTGTACCAGTCAGATCCAGCTTGACGGTACGAACACAAACAAACAAACAAATATAACTCTAACTCATAAGGACTCTATAGGGCCGGGATAGAACTGCTGCGTAGGGTTCTAAATCTTTATAAGAGCAAACAGTTTCATCTTTCTCCTGTAGAGTGGCTGGTGGGTTTTGCAAGCAGGGTTGTGTCATCCGCATAACGCAGATTGTTGATAAATCGTCCACCAATCTTGACCCCACATTTCTCCTCATAGAGCCCAGCCTCCCGGATAATCTGTTCTGCATATAGGTTGAAAAGGTATGGAGATAGGATGCATCCCTGGCATATGCCCTTCCCAATTTTGAACCATGCAGTGTTCCTTTGCTCTGTTCTGACAACTGCCTCCTGGTCCAAGTATAGGTTTCGCATTAGAACAATCAGTGTTCTGGGATTCCCATTCTTCTCAGAGTCAGCCATAGTTTGTTATGATCTACACAGTCAAATGCCTTTGCATAGTCAATGAAACACAGATAGACATTCCTCTGGTATTCTCTGCTTTTAGCTCAGCATCTTAGGCCACTGAAAAGTGGGTGACATGCAGATCTTTTTTTGGGTTTTTTTGGTGGCTGTGGGTGCCTTTCAAGACTGCCTTCTTAGCCTTTAATGCCTTGCTTTGGCTTCACTTTTGGGAGAGGCAGGAATATCTTTATTTTGCTTTCAATACCATCTTCATAGAAAGGGCCAAGTATTGGTTTTGCATAGGCACTAAAAAGTGTTTTGGGATTTCCATTTTTTCAGAGCTAGCCACTGAGCAAATTATTTGAGAAGCTCTATGAAGAAGAATGTGGCATCAGGATGCCTCATCATTAACCTATATTATGCAGATAGTACGACCTTGCTTGCTGAAAGTGAGGGGGACTTAAAGAACTTGCTGCAGAATGTTAAACACGGCAGCCTTCAATATGGATTGTATCTGGGTATCAGGAAAACAAAAATCTTTGCCACCGGACTGATAGGCAACATCATGATAAATGGAAAAAAGATCAAAATTGTCAACAACTTAATCCTACTTGAATCCACAATCAGTTGGCAGTCAGCAGTCAGATCAGGAAATGTATTGCAATGGGAAAGTCTGTAGTCGGGGACCTCTCCAAATTGAGGAGCAATGATGTCAGTTTGAGAACTAAGGTGTGCCTGATTCAGGCCATGGCCTTTTTAGTCACTTGCTATGCACCTCAGAGCTGAACGATGAATAAGGAAGACAGAAGAAAAATAGAAGCCTTTGAACTATGGTGTGAGAGAAAAATAGTGAATATTCCACGGACTGCCAAAAGAACAAACAGATATATCCTGGAAAAAGTGCAGTCAGAACGGCCCCTGGAAGCAAAGATGACACTTCATCTCACATTCCTTGGGCAAGTGGCTAGGAGAGGCTATTTCTTGGAGAAGGAAATTCTATCATGCTTGGAAAGATGGAGGGTCAGTGAAAGAGAGGAAGACCTTTAATGAGATGGATTGACATAATGACTGCAGCAAAGTGCTGAGTGTGTCAGAAATTGTGAGGATGGCACAGGATAGGATGGGTTCAGGTCTGTTTTTTTATAGGGTCACTAGAAGTCATACTCCACTTGAGGGCCCTGAACAACCACCACCACCTCTGTCTTGGAAACCCAGAGGAGGGTTGCTTTCAGCTGAAATCAATTCTATGGCTATAGGTTTGGGTGTTTTGCCAAAGACATCTTACCAGGTGACCTTCCTTTCGTGGTCTCATGAGGTTTCTTTTCTATCTTTTATTAAAAATTTTATTTTATTAATTTTAATCAACATTTACAGAGATTTTGGATTTTCATTTATTCATTGTTGCACTTTTTTCTTTACCCTCCCCCCACCCCAGTTTGCTCCTCTCTTTGAAAAGCAAAAGATAAACTTCTTCGTTGGTATACAATTCCCACCCCCATCCCAAATGCACTCCACTACGCAACCTTAATTCTGGATTCCTGTGATAATCATAATATGCTATCATATATCCCTTTTAAACTGTTCTCTCCCGCATCTGTTTCAATTCCGTATACATGATTATCCAGTTTAGTCCTCAAGGCAAAGACAAGAATTTCTTCTTTAGTAAAATTCACATCTTTCCCTCCTTTTCAGGTCTTGGTTCCTCAGCACGTCCCCACAGGCTGTGACAAGCCCAGTACACAGTCAACTTTAGGGAGCCATGTTGGACTTCCCCTGGCCTTTCTGGTTCTGGACTTTCAAACTCACTCACAGCCCCACAGCAGGCTTGCTGGAAAACCCTGCCTGGAGTCCGCCAGCCTCAGACACCAGCCCCAAACAGAGGGTGGCCTGGACACTGGCAGGCGGTGGACCATCCACTGCACAAAATGGGGGACTGGTGACAAGTCTGTAATAAGTTCCTGATATACACTCTGTCCATGTTCAAGGCTGACTTCAAATCCGATGACTAGAGCCTTAGGCTCCCGTGTGATGCAGCTGCACACTACAAGAAGCCTGGGGAAGGTGAGCCACGTAACGGTCGGCTCCCTCGGTGGACTCCAGACTGCCCCTCCCCAAGCACATCTTCTAGGGTCCTAGAGAGTCCTGGATTTTCCTTCCCATCGGCACATGGGTTAATGCTAAAACACAGACCTCTAAGGACATAGTAAGTATTTTTCCTAAAAGTTGTTTCAGAGTGAAAAAAAAAATTCAAGATTTCTCTTATCCCTTCTCCCCTTTTAAAACATCTCAAGTGAGGTGGCTTGGACGAGTCCTGCTTCCAAGGTCTTGGCTCACTAGTCAGTGCAAGTACCTTCCTTGTCTTGTTCTTGTGTTTGCTCACTTTTATGTCCTTTTACAATGAGCCATCATGTGGTTGAGGATCAGTCTTGTGTCAGCTTAGTTAAGTTTGAAACCCAAATCAAACTACTACCATCGGGTTGACAAAGCTGTCAATCTTTACAGAAGTGCATTGCCATATTTTTTTTCTCCCTTGGAGATGACTGTGGGTTAAAACCTCTGACCTTTTGGTTAATAACCAAGCACTTAACCACTGTACCATAATCAGTGGTTAACCAGCACCACTAAGTCAACTTCGACTCACAGCAATGCTGCATCTGGTTTCTAGGCTGTGGCTCATGCCGCCCCTGACTGGCTTTTCAATTAGCAGTTCAACATGGAACACCCTATATCACCTAGGTATTCCTGTGAGCATATTTTGTAGGGGGGTGAATGTTTAGAATCAGTTGATCGTAAAAGAGATTATCCTCAGTAACTTGAGAGGGTGTACTCTCCAGTTGAATGACTGAATTGTGTGCCCTCAATGACTTATTAATCGCAATACTTTAAAAAAAAACAACAAAAACACAGAAATGGCAACTTTATAAATGGACCTCACCAGATGAACTGCATAAGAATCAGATTGACTACATCTGTGGAAGAAATCATTGGAGAAGCTTCTTATCAGCAGTCAAAACCAGACCAGGTGCTGACTGTGCAACAGACCATTAATTACTCATGCAAATTCAAATGGAGGCTGAGGAAAAGGAAAACACATCCTTGAGAATCAACATACAACTGTGAGTTTTCCTCACCTGAATTTTTAAAAAATCATCTTAAGAACAGGATTGACAGTGAAACATCAGAGATTGAAGACCAGCTAGCTGGGTTGTGGGATGACATCAAGGATATTTTCTACAAAGACAGGAAAAGGTCATTGCAAAGGCAGAGGAGAAAGAAAAGACCAAAATGAGCATCAGAAGAGACTAAAAATTGTACTAGAGCACTAAGAAACAAAAACAAAGGGGAAAGATGCTGAAATAAAAGCTCAACAGAAGATTTTAAGGGGCAGCTCGAGGAGACAACACAAAGTATTGTAACAGAATGTGCAGAGAGCTGGAGTTGGAGAATATAATGGTAAGAATGTGCTCAGCATTTCTCAAGGTAAAAGAGCTTAAAAACAAATTCAAGCCTTAAATTGCAATACTGGAGATGCTATGGGCAAAATCTTGAACTATCCAGGAAACATCAAATGAAGATGAAAGGAATACTCAGTCACTGTACTAAAGAGAATTGGTCAGTATTGGAATATTTGAGGATATAATATAATCAAAACCAGTGGTAATAAAGGAATAAGTTCAAGCTGCATTGAAGGCATTGGCAAAATATGAGGCCCCTGGAATCAATGGAATACCAATTGATATATTTCAACTAAAAGATGCAGCCTTGGGTGTGCTCATAAGTCTATGCTAAGAAATTTGGAGGACAGTTGCCTGGCCAATTGAATGACACCTAGTTGTTTCCATTCCCATGATAGCTGATCCAAAATGATATGTAAATTATTGAACAATGTAATTAATATCACATGTAAGCGAAATACTGCTGAAGATCATCCCAAATTGGCTGGAACAGTATAGAGAACTGCCAAAAGGTCAAGCAGAATTTAGAAAAGGCTGTGGCACTGGCGATATCATTGCTGATGTCAGATGGATTCTGGCTGAAAGCAGAGAATACCAGAATAATGTCTATTTGTGCTTTATTTACTATGCAATGGCATTTAGCTGTAAGGATTATAACAAATTATTGCTAACATTGA